CAGCCGGATGGCAGACCGTTGTTCGAATTCGCGTGCAGCCGAGTAAGTTGAGGAGGGCTTGGAGGAATGCAACTCCAAACTGGGTAACACGGTCGGTCGTATGCGTGGATGGGACACCGAAAACGGCGATCCAATGGCAAGTTTAAAGGAAGGAAGACCAAAAAAGCGGATTAAGGCACCTTGGCATGTCGAGGGGGGAATGTATATGCATGCCTTTGAAATACATATGTGTCGGGGATCACAGACGACAGCAATAGCGTCAATAAAGTCATTCGAGTAAGTAAATAAGGACTGACAGTTTGTGCATTATTGTTGGTTGTAAAAAAACAGCCACTCCACAACCTCTACCGCTGGATAAGGATTTTGGATGGGTACGAAACCAACAAAAAGACGGCGGTGTAATAGTTAGCGATTCGATATAACTATTCAACGAAGTCTCTTGCAGACAGATAGCTTCGGTCTTAATGTGCTCTTTTTCAGCAGAAGTAACTCCATGTCGACGCTGTTGTTGAAAAGTGATCGACAATTTGTCGAAAAAATACAGGAACGGATATTTTTGCTTTGGTTTCCGTAAAGGACGTGCGTAACAAATAGAATCAGTATAGAAAAAAATATATGGCCTATGAATAAATGAAATTATTACAAGAGGCTACCATACATTTATGTAGGACATCTATGTAGGCTAAGCACAGCCGAGTCTTTCGTGTAATGCGCTTCGGGTTTCAGCGAAGGAAGTTCCCGACCTCCGATCTTTTGCAAAAGGCTAGTTTTACTGCGAACCTCATTCCCTGGAGGAAGCTCTTGACTACGGTTTCCTTTATTCTGATTCCCTGTTTATGAGTATCACTCTGGCTGATTTACGAACCATTCCTGAAAAAGGAATTGCGCAGGGCAATTTCAAAGGTCACTGTACTGTTTGACTTCTTGGGAAGGCTGCACTGACCTCCTACTCCGAAGCAAGCTTTCGTGCAACGGCAGTCTTCCTGCTGACTGAAAAATATAAATTAATTCACAGTACCCTGAATAAACTTAACTAAAAGGGCAATCATCCTAACTTAAAGGTTTTCCCTGGACTAAATTTACTCAGTGGATCAATATAACCTGACCAAATATATGCCAAACTACCAAGTCAAATTTCTTCGTGAAAGCTGCATGAGTTTTAGGGCATACTGTTTATCTGATAGGAAATTAACCCTAACCTCACAACTGACCCCGAACCCCTGGAAAGTAGCTCAAGATTTTCGAAGTAGGGACAGGGACCCTATTTTTGTGCCGTAATCATCACGCCAATATCTAACATGGATGATAAAATAACGCCAATTAAAGACTCGGATGCACATCGCCAAGCCATAATCGCATTCACCACGTCCCCAAACGATGATCACTGGAGTTGCTAATTTTCTTACATGGTCGCGTAACAGCTACGGACTATAAATATTACGTAACCAACGCATTTGTCACACTTTTCTGTGTTTATCTTTGATGACGGGTTCAATGTAAAATTCTAAACGTCAGGCAGATAATTCTCTTGTTCCAGCGACCACAGCTTCTACTTCTGAACTGCCTCCTGTCTTGTATAATTTTTTCCTTTACTCCTTTTCTTCACACGGGGTCCGGATCAGGGTACGGCGGGCGTTATTAGGGTTGTGCGCCCATAACAAATATCGAACATAGGGGAGGGGAGTGTAGATTTACGCATAGGGGTGGTCTTGGTCGCGCCAGCCACCTGCGCCCGATCCCGCCTCTGGTATTTTTACTGTCTCGACGCTGCGCTCAGTTGGGTGAGGGAAGGGACACTGTGGTAGATGCAGCTACGTATTCTATCACAGAAAGATCTTTTTGCTTACTGATGTTCATATGGTTTATAACATTCACAGCATACAACATCTAGCTGATGATGTGGACCGCCACGGACCATTAGAATTGTTTTCCTCTTTTCCGTTTGAGAGTTATCTTGGTCAGTTTAAGGTGCTTCTGAGAGGTCCCTCTAGGCCTTTGCAGCAGATTGCGAGACGGCTGGCTGAGATAGACGTCGGCGTTAGCGTAACAGATATTCGCCACAGACCTAAGCTTATGCACAGGCATAATAAGGGTCCCCTAACTGAAGACATGAATGTATGTGAGCAGTTCTTTTGTATTGATGATTTGTGGCGCAGGGTTGACTGCTCTACAGCAAATAGATGCACTAGCCTTGGAGATAAGATAGTGTGCGTTAGGAACATTGTACGCGATAGTAATGGAAGCATTCGTTTGGTATACGGCGAATTCACTGGATTGTGTGATTACTTTAAGTATCCAATCGAGTCTTCCAGTATTAGCGTGTACAAGGCGCAGCCATCAAATGATATAAGGCCCGCTAGCTTCTCTTCCGCTTTTAGCAAATACGTGTGCTATCCCTTAGAAGACTCTTATGTATTAGTAGAAGTTATAGGCGAGGATTAAAGAAAACCTTTGGGTTGACGATACTCGGAAGCAGGTTTAGGGCAGGTAGACACTAAGTTAGTGTGTGAAGCTTGCAAATACCGTTCAGTTTATGCGGACCAAACAATTTTGCATGTGCTAGTCAGCTAGTCAGGTCACTGCATAAGTTGCACTGTCCAAGTTATTTGGTTCACATACATTTAGCGGTATTTGCTTGCTTCGAACACTAACTTAGTGCCTACCTGCCCTAACACTGCTTCTATTTTCAGTTACAGTCCAGCACGTAGCTTCCGACGAAAATGCTCCTGGCCCACGACGATTTGAACGTGAA